TGAGGGTTTTTTGTGCTTCTCACTTGTTTGTTTTCTGTCTGATTTCAGTGCATCAGTGGTCCCTGACCCAAAAAGATTCCCACCCCTGTCATAATAAAAAATGTTTAACACCTTGTGTTGAGCATTTTACTTTCTAAGATGAAGCCAGGCCAACTGGGCCCCCATTTGGGACCCAGCCCACATCTGGCCACAGCATCCTGGCCCTGGCCTCAATCCTGGGGCAGGCCCCTTGACCCACCCCCATCCAGCTGCAGGAAGGGTTGGAGACACACACACACACCAGCTGCAGCATGGGTAGGAAGGGAGGCCATGAGCTGGCTGTAGCAGTTCTGGCCCCACCTCTTATCCAGCCACTGCTCATCAGGTGCAGCAGCCCAGCCCTGGCCAGGTAAAATAAATCCAGGTCCAAGACATGCCCCCCACACACTCTATTTCCTACCCCGGCACCTCCCACACTCCAACCCCCTGCCTTCAGCCCCTCATCCACCCTAACCCTGACTCCTACACTCACATCCACAACCTGCACCCACAGCAGCAGTCCCATTAAATAAAGTCTGAATACAATTATTTGTTTATTAATTGTACAACTTATTGATAATTGACATTCAGTCATGCAAATGGGCATTTATATGGCTGTTGACAACCACTTGTTCTGAATTTTGATGTAGATTGGGTCTTTGTTTAGAAAAGGTTGCCAACCCCTGATTTAAGGGAATTTTTTTTATTCTAGAGCAGTGTTTCCCAATTTTATTTGGCTGAGGAACCCTTTTCAGAATTTCAAGGAACCCCCCTAGGTTTGTCAAGCAAAAAAAGGGGGGGGGCAGGGAGAGAGGGACCCACCAATTCATGACCCAAGACACACCCTCCCCCCATCTCCTTTCTGTGAGGCCTCATCCGCTCTGTTCCCCTCCTCTCCATCACTTGCTCTCCCCAGCCCTTATACTTGACTCAACCTAGTGAGAGTGAGGTGTGGGGTGGGAATGAGGGATTTGGGGGTGCGAAGGGGTGAGAAGTACAAGCTCTGGGAGGGAATTTGGATGCAGGAGAAAGGGCTGTTGACTCGGGGAGGGGGCTCTAGGCTGGGGAGTGTTGGGTTCAGGTGGAAGGTTGGGGTGCTGAGCAAGCCAGGGCTTGTGCATGTGAGGGTGCAGGAGTTTGGGCTGGATATGTGAGGGACTCAGGGCAGGGAGTTTGTGAGTATGATGGGCTCAGGACACAGATTTGTGATGTGTGGATGGTGGAGGAACGTTGTGGCAGAAGACTGAGGATGTGGGGATGCAGGAGTGTGGGGATGTAAGAGGCTCAGGACGGGGGTTCCAGTGTATGATAGGCTCAGATTTGGGATCAGGTGGTGCAGGAGTGTTATGATGCTGCAGTGAAATGGGGGTTTGGTCCCAATTGGGGTCTTGTTGGTCAGGCTTCATTTTTAAACAAAATATGTCAAACTCAAAAGGGTTTAGCATTGTCTTTATATATGAGAGGGGTGAGGAACCTGTTCTGAGTCAAAGGTCACTGACCCACAGAAAAGTCAGTTGGGGCCACAAGTGAGATGCAAAAAAAACAAAACAAAAAGCTCCCCCAAAAAACCTCAAGCATCGCTAATGTGGTCCCAAATGTGCTGGTGGGGGTAGGGGACAGAGCGCTAGTGGGTGCTGGGGCTGGCGAGAGGGTGCTGCTGGGTGGAAGGATGCTGGCTCAGGTGGCAGGGTGCTGGGGCAAGGTGCTGGGACAGGCAGGTGGCAGGGTGCTGGGG